CCCCAAAACCCCAAAACCCCAAAACCCCAAAACCCCAAAACCCCAAAACCCCGAGCTCGCTCTCCCCACTTGAAACACCAAAAACCCCACTAAAATCCCAATTCCACAAAATCTTTATTCAGAATCACTTTCAAACCGTTTCTTTACTATTCTAACTTTCTTCTTGATTCTGTCTTTCTTAGTCTTCGGGAAGAAGCTCTTGTACTTTCTGGGCTGAGGGGTCTCAAGACTTGGTCTTGGTCTGGATGGCTCAAAGGGCTATAAGCTGGATTAAGCAGGGGGAAAGAAGGAATTTTTGGGCTAGGGTTTAGGTATTAATCGTTTGTGAAGGCCTTGTTCAGAAAATTGGGTTTAGAGCAATTTTTAGGTTAGTTGAGTGAGTAAAGTGTCAAATATGAGAGATTTTTAATTTGTTAGTGCTTAATGTTAATTTTTTTGTTGAAATTTTTGTAGAATCTTGAGCTTTTAGTTAGAACTTAGTGATGATCAAAATATATATTGAATCTTCATTCTCAAGGATTTACTAATCACCTCAACTCTTTCAATTAAGATGGCAAATACGAAAGTTTAGACTTTAACTAAGAGCATTTGTGGCATAAAAGTTAACTCTTTATAATAAGTTTTGAATTATAAATTAAAAGACATACATTTATTGAATCATCTGATGATTCTTCACTCTAAAGGTATCAGGGATTACTTACAATTGGTTCATCAATTATCAAATTTTGATTTAGTCTCCTATTTTCTTCTTTTGCAACATTATAACTTTTTCTAACTTGCTTAGTTTTATTTTTGACATAAGAGCAGCTGTTATCTTCTTTGTTCTCTTCATTTAGATCCGCTTCATCAATCCTTTTTGTAAGGCCTATTTTTTGTTCAAAAGAACGATTGAAATAATAAAGATTTATTTTTACAACAAAAGCCGGACAATAAACTCACAAACTTTCTAAAACTATCTGAAGTCCCAACTTTAAAAGAAGCCATCAAAACCTAAATAAAAACACAAAAACTCTTAAAACCCTTTTATCAATACCCTATCTCCAAAAGAACCCATCCATAAAAATTTCATCCGCCTACAACTCCAAAGCTATCCTCTATCCCCCACCCCTCCCTCTCATCTACACTAACCCACCTCTCCCACTAAACTCCACTTCTCCCAACCCCCCAAAACCCTAACATTACTCTCACCACCTCCCAGTTTCCTCCTCTCTTTCCTAACGTTCGAAGAAGTCCTGCGAATTTTATTTAAACTTCCTATACATGTTAGGTTTAGGACCGGTGAGTGGGTTCTTACCGTGTCTTAAGGGTTTTGATTTTGGGGTTGAAGATATTTTCTTTAGGTGGTTATTTTCTTCTTCGGTGGCATAGAGTTTTTTGGTTAAGTCGTTGTTTCTTTTCTTGAAATCTGAAATTCTTTTATTTAGATCTTTGTTTTTTTGCTCAAGGCTAAAGGTTGTTAAATTTGTTGATGGTACTTGGAGATTTTATTGTAATTTTTGGTTATTTTGGTATTAAGAGAGGTGTTTTGAATTTTGAGAGTATCTGTTTGTTCCTGGAGAGCTTCAGATCGTTCTATAGTAGTGGTGAAGTGTTCAAGGGGTGTATTCATAATTTAGATAAGAAAGAGAGGGCTAGTTGATCCTCTAAAGTGTATATTGAAAATAGTGTTTTCAAACTTCCTACCATTTATACCTTCTAAATATGTTTCCAACTCTTTAATATGCGCCACGAGATCGGCTTTTTCTACTCTAATATTATCAATAATCCTCTTTAGACTTTCTATTTTTTCTTGAAGTTTCATCTTAGTCTCATTCTCTTTAGCCAACTTTTGTTTTATTTCATTTAACTTCTTATCCTTAACATCAATCTTTTCTTTAATTTCTTGATTATTATTTTCTTTTTTAAGTTTGTCTTTTAAAACCATATTTTGATAAGTTAGGTCTTTAACATGAGAGCTCAAATCTTCATATTTCTCACTTGCAATATCTAGTTCTCACTGTGCTTGGCCTTCGCGAGCAATCAGCTGCTCATTTGTATCAGTCAACTCCTTTATTTTAGATTGAAGCTTTTTGATATCTTCAGATAAATTTTTCTCTAATTCTTCTTTTTTTTTAGCAATAATTTGGGAATTTTTCTGATGTAAATCAGCGTTGCTCTTTTGCAATAAAATTTCTTGTTTTACCTTATTATATTCTTCCAAATGCTGGTTACAAGTTTTCTCAATATCTTTAACTCTCTTTTCAAGCTCTTGATTTTGCTCAGTAAGTTGAACAACAAGATCATTAGGTTCAAGAATCTACATTTCGCTTGTTAAAACTTGATTTTAATATAAAAACTGAGATATCTAATGTAAAAATTCTAACTGATATTTTGTATTGAGGAAAGCATTTTAACTTATTGATGCTAAGTTCTACTGTTGTCCCGAGGCTAAGTCTTTTGTCATACTCTTGTTTAAATAATTCTAATTAATAACTTCAAAGAGAGTGAGCGGCGCAGGATAAATATTAATAGCATGAATTTTAGTTTCTTTATGAGGCATAAGTTCTTTGCTATTATTGAATAATTTTCTAAGAGCTAATACAGTTTTCATTAAATTTGATGAAATATGATAAATTTGAGATATTGGTAATATAGAATAGATTTGAAGTCATGTATCAGGAAAATTTAGAGAGTATCAGGAATGTTGATATGTTTAAATAATTTCTAATCAAGTCGATCTTGCTTTGGAATAGGTAGACCTTTATAAGGTTAATAAATAGTTAATTATCGTAAAATTAATTTCAAAACTGTTTGATTATGTGAAATAAATCACAAGTTCTTCCTCAAGTCATGTTTTAGCAATGATCTCAACGGTTTGAAAGATTCGAAATAATATGAATCCTTTACTAATGTATAGATACATAAATGTATCTACAGTGGCGAACTTATGAAATCAGAAATCGGTACTCAAGAGTTACTAAGGAAGTAATACTTAATGAGCTAAAGGAACTAAAAGTATAGAGTTTAGCAAAGAATTGACTTTTGTAAGATTAAAATTCTAAAATTTGTCTCTTTACCTCATTAATTCTTTCAGTCTCATACTCTAGCATCTGAATTTTCAGTTGATTCTGGAAACTAGTGATCTTGGTAGCTTCGATCTCTATCTCAGTAGAATCTCTTTGCTCAGATACTACTTTTCTAATACCTTCATTGTGCTCAAGAATAGATTTATTTATTTTAGAAACGTGATTTTCTTGTCATTCAAGATCTTTGTTAATTTTATCTAACTTCTTCTGTTTCTGAACCAAGTGCTTTTCATATCCTTCTAGAATTAGAATCGGACTTCTTTTAAGTTTCTTGAATAGTTCTGCGATAAATTTATCAATCTGCTGTTGACTTGCAACTTGTCTTGTAATACCAACTATATTATGATTCATTAGAATCTACACTGAGATTTTGCATTTTCTTTAAGAGCTTTCTTGAGAGCATCAATCATTATTAGATTTTCTTGGTTAATTATCGAATATTCTGCAAAACGTTCATTGACTATTGAGTTATGTTTCTGAATTTGATTATCTAAATATTCTAAAGCTTATTTTTACTCGTAGCTAGGTAATATTTCTGGAAAGAGTTGGTATTATTGGCGATCACCATTTCATAGTCGTCACATATTCTTTTATGTTGATCCCTAGAATTGTTAAGAAATACATCAGAGATTGTTCAAATGTAGATATGGTTTATCAGATTTAAGATTGTTATTTACATTAGCAATTCCAATAAATTTGAGAAGAAATTTGAGATAAAATAGCATATTAAATAATATAAATAGAGGTATGGCTTGATTTATTGAGTATATAGCTATGTTACTTGCTTTAAGTAGTCCTTTTTGGTATTTCAGCTTGAATAAATTAATGATTTATTAACCTCTATTTTATATCAATGAAAAACAAAAATTAATTAAATCCTTCTAAATTAATGTATAATTTGGCAATAATAGCTCAAAACACTCAAATTAATTAAAAAATATCAAAAATAATGAATTTTGCATAAAACTGGTTTTTCTCCAAATTACTTACAATATTTCTTTCAAAATGCATGACTTATCACTATCCTTTTGATCCCAAGAAGTCAATATCTCAAAGACTCTATCATAGTCACTCTTCAATTGGGCATATAATTCCCTATCATTTTCCCTGAGTCTCAACAGTCTGTTTCCTTCTTCAATCATTCCTCTGTAAAGGCTCTTAAGTTTGGTGTATTTCTGCTCTTTTACAGCCAATTTTTCATTAAGCACCTTCGTCATTCTAAAGTACTTTATATATGAGCTTGAAGACAGTTCCAGGTTATGGCTATACTCAGAGATCTTTCCCTTAAGAATTTGGATTTTCTTTCGGGATTCATCGAAGTCTTTATCTGCTTTGGCTATTCTCTGTTCGTATAGATGGAGATTTTCGAGATGTTGATGGTCTTTAAGGTCTAAGGCTTGTTGGTGGGCCTTTTTTAGGTCTTTGAGAAAATGTTAAGAAGTTTGAAGGAAGATTATTGGATAGGGAAAGGTTTCATTGAGTTTTTTATGGGATAGGTTGTCTAAGACTTACCTCTTTCTTTCCCTTCCATGTGCTGCTTGTTCTGGTCAATAATCTTCTCAAACTCCTCTTTTGTTCTATAAGGCTGCTTATTTTGTTCAGTAATTTTTTGGGCTGTGTCAAAGAGAACTGAAATGTTTGAGGTTTTGGATTCGATGACCCCTTGAGCGGTTTTGAAGGTTGACTGGAGGGCTTGGAGTTGGCTTGTTTGGGAGAGGAGTGATTGGTTGGTGACTTGGAGGTCTTTGTTTTGGGATGATAGGGCTGAGGCTCTCTTGTGAAGTTCTTGCTTGTCTTTTGAAATTGCCTTTATTTGATGTGAAAGAGTGGTATAATCGCCGGTCTTTTGTTCCAGTTCGATTTTTAGATTTAGGTTTTCTGTTTTCAATGCAGTAAGCTCTGCTTTTAAGCTTTGTATCTATGAGCACATTTAGAATTAGGAGTAATAAATTTTTAATTATGAAAAGGAACAGAATTCTTGAATGAATCTACCTCTGTCTTAAAATCATGCTGCTTCGAGCATTCTTCTTGTAACTTTTTATTTCTTTGAACTAGAACATCATTTTGTTGTTGAAGTAGTTGTACTTCTTGTTCATATTTAGCTTTCTCATCTCTTTCCATTTCGCTAACTTCAAGATTGACCTCAGACTCTTTCTGCTCTTCTCTTGGATTGCATAATTCGGACCTAACAATAATAGCGCTTACACGCTTCTCCATTTGTTGGTCCAATCTGTCTTTAGTACTTTCTGTTAATGATTCTGGATCAGATGATTCCGATTCTTCTGATTTATTTTGAAAGTCTATGTGTTTGGTAACTCATTAAGTGTTATCCTAAATTACCTGATTTTTCATACTTGGATAGTATAATCTTAGTTTGCTTTAGAATGATTTCATAAAACTTTTGATGCTGCGCAAATGTTTCTTTTATGAAAGAATGAAGCTCATCCATGAATTCTTTGTCAGTGATTGTATTAATTCATTCTAGAATCATATTTAAATGCTTGAAAGTAGAAAGAAGAAGGATGTCAATGATAGAATGTGAAATCTCTTAAGCAGAATCAATATACTCTAAATAAGCCAATCTTACCTTGAACAACCCAATTGTTTATAATGGTTATTCTTATCATCTCAATGGATTTTTCATTACGATCATCTATCAGTATCGGGTCATCTTCTCAATTGCCTTGAATAATTTCAAAACTCAATGCTTTGCTCAGAGTGACGTCTTTATATTTATTGCTGTCTAGAGTCTGTTTCAAAGCTTTTAGCTCATTCTTGTATTGCTCTTCATACCTTCGAACTTCACACTTTCTCTGCTCGATTTCTATGGCAAATCATGTAAGTATACTTTAAATTGTAATTTCCTAAAACTCACTGTTTTTGTGTAAAACTGTATAAATTAAAAGTCTCCTTATAAAACTCTTTGAACCTCCAAGTCCACTAAGGACTACTCCTTCCCTCCCTACACCCCAAAAAATCCCTAAATAACCTTCTTCCTCACTCTACGGAATCCCTTAACCCTCAAATCTCCCAAAGTCTCCCAATTTCCTTCACAACATAAATTTCCTAAAGAAAGCAACTGAGCCCCTCTTTTCCTTTGAAGCCAGGAAACATTTGTTTGCCAAAGCTCGATTCTTGGCTGGAAGAATGGATTTTACCTTCTTTTGAGATTTCGGGTTTGCTCAGCTATAAGAGAATAAGGATGGAAAATTGGAGGGCTTACTTCGAGATGGTTCAGCTGTTGTTGAGTGAGCTTCCATAGACAGTGGTTCAAGTCGATTCGGCCTAGAGGAGGGATTAGAAGGGGAGTACTGTTGTCGGTTTTTAGGAGTTCTTTCCAGAAATTTGAGTATTTTTCGGTATTTAGTTCGGATAGTGAGCCCGTTTGGATGTTGTTGGCATTCTCAAAGCTTCTTTTGAAGGCATTGATCACTCTATTTTCTTTTATCTTCTGATTTTTAAATTTATTTCTCTCTTGCATATTGTTCAATTTTGAAATCAAATCTTTCAATAACTCTTTCCAAGTTAAATTCTCATCAATCTCAAACCTATCATCTATCTCTAAACCTTAATTAACACTATTGCAACATACCCTCAATCCTAGCCTGATTCTCATAATTATAAACCGTTTTCCTTAAAGCATCTTTTTCCTCTTCATTTTCATCTCTACATCAATTAGAACCTCTCTTTCAATTCCCTTCCCTAAAGTCCTCCTAACCCATTTCTCACTTAGCACAAAATCTTCTCATAATCTGTAAATCCATCTCCAAATCCTAAAACCACCACTATGTACTCTAAAGTCTTCACTAGAAATTTGGTCTACAGCTCAAAGGCACGACCAGGACCGACCACTAGGACTTAAATAACGCTGAAAGAACTCTTAGCCTAGGACCAGGCTAGCAGAGGAAGTTTGTGTAGCTTACTCGATAACTGAAATACCTTGGACAGAACAAATGGAGTGTAAAGGTATTTCTTGGCTGAAGTCGGCATCTGGGATAGCTGCAAATTTTGAATTGTATACGTTGAGGTCGTCTACTTGTTGTTGAAGGGATTTGTAGTCGTTGGGTTGGTCTTTTGGACGTCTGTGGGGTAGAACTCTGGGTCTAGGGCTTTGGGAGATGAATGAACGGCATTCTGAGCTGAAGAAAGAGCTAAAGAGATTTTAATGAGTGGATACCACACTGCAAGCCTCCCCAGCCAGCCCTACCACTGAGCAAGGGTCAAGCCTTAAGACCTGCAGTGCCCTTCCAAAGGAATAATAAGGGTGCTTACTCATTGCTTTCAGCATCTTGGAGGACATCTTCAGGTAAATTTTCACCTAAATTTTAATTTTTAAAATTTTGATGATAGAGTTAATATCTGTCTTTTTTGAAGAAGATTTTTAAGACCAAATAAAAAGCAATTTTAGAGGTTCAAAGGTAGTAAAAAGTGAAATTAGGTATTAGAAACTTTAGTCCAAAAGAAAAAGAAAGCTGGAGACCCAAAAGGAGAGAGCTGTAAGCATCAAACTGTGACAAAAATATATCAAAAAATTCAAATTTTCTGTTCATCCTCAAAAACACCTATCCCCCTCATCTACCTCTTCAAACCCCATCTAAGCACCACCAAACCCCTTCCTTCCCTCTAAAACACCTCTCACTCCCCTCCTCCCAATCCTTACCTTCTTTCTGTTCTTCCATTAAATTTATATAATCCCCTCAACATTCTTCCCTTATATCGGGGTTTTGGGGTTTTGGGGTTTTGGGG